ACGAATCTCCATGTGTAAAAAGGCCGCGGATGCCCTTCCGATGAACAATTTAGTACAACAGAAGATCGCTCCGCCATACGGATAACACGTGAAGAATGTGTTATGTTACCACTCTTGATGATCAGACTTATTCGAGGAATTTTTGCTGCAACTAAAGAGAAATTGCAATGTTAATATACAATAATAATAATAATAATAACTAAAATAAAATAAGAGAGAGAGAGAGAGAAAGAGAGGTAAAATTAAGAGGCAACAGTTTACAATCTAGTCTCGTCTGTCCCGAAATTATATAAAACGTTAGTGTTAAAATTATAAGATAATTACTAAATGTTACGGAATCCGATCTATTTTCCACTCGGCATATAAAAGTTTTCCCATCATCTTCTGCCTTCAGCGTAACGTTTACTTTTCTTTCACCATATTCGCTGCAATTGTCGAACGTAGAATTGTTGACCCCTGTGGCATCTGGAAGTAACTCAATGGTTTTGCGGGGCTTGCCAAGTTTTGCATAGCAACGGATTTCCACCAAACCAGATGAATCGTGTAGAACGTTCATATTTATGGACGGCGGACCGGAGTCAACTGATAAAAAACAGGAAATGTTGTTCATACCTTCACTTCTTTATATACATGTCACTGCTCTTTCTTCCGTGTGTGTGTGTGTGTGTGTGCGTGTGTGTGTGAGAGAGAGAGAGATGGATAAGGGCATTGCGGTATAATTAACTGTATTTCTTTTCTTTCTTGATTTTTGTGTTTGGTAGAAATCAGACAATATTATGCTAACCACATACATCCCAAATAGTACGTTGTCCACTTACTAATCAAAGAAATACTTTAATGAAATCAGGCAAAATTAATTAGCTCGTTAACAAGCACGACCTATCCTTTAATTCTGAGAAAAAAAGAATTCTGTTTGGCAGCCAAGTTTAAAAGAGGGGCGCCGCTCGTTAACCACATAGACATTTTCTCCGACCTTACCTAAAACTTCCAAATCTTCAGTAAAAGTGCGAAATGGTTTTCCTATGCAATGTACGCTGCAGTTATAAAGTTTCTGATCCGAGCAGCTTATATTCCGTATATATAACACACTGTTAGGATGCCTGTACTCTGCAGACAGTCTGTTCTTGTAGTCGACTGATAATTTTTCACCGTACTTTGTATAATTTGTGGCATTAGTGAACAACAGGAAGTTTGGTTTGGTGTAGAAAGTCACTCCCAGGAGCGTTGATACATTCTTGCAATGGCTTATGGAAGGACATACGTGGGTAAACGTCCCCCCGACCGGAACTAGGGCGGGTGATGCACCTAATAAGGAAACACAAGACAGCAAAATTTTACTCCTTAATACGGGGTTTCAAACAACACTGAAATCCCTTTTTTCGGGGTTGTGTTTGAAATAGAGGGAACATATGAAATCGAGACCAGCATTGGATTTCAAATGTGGAATATATTTGTCATATTTAATTGAACCGTATCTTTTTGAATTTCCTTTCTTGTCAACATATACATGTACAGTGTCTTTTCCCCCCAGCACTTTAAGTTTGTAATTATTTTAAAACTTCAAATCCCAAATACAGTCCAAATACTTTGGAAATATTTACGAAAAATATACATCTGAAAAAGCAATGATAATATAATATGTCATAAAAGATTTTGCTTGGAAATATCTGTATGAAATTCAATGAAAAGTAAATAAATGAATATGTAGATAAATAAAGCTTTATTTAAAACGAAAATGAAACTGCGATTTAGTTTTTCAAATCTAACAATATTCTTAGAAAAATAAAGTTTTTATGAGCTATTTTAAAAAGAATTGAAACTGAAACCGGAATTGTCATTGAGAGCGTAACATTAACTGCATACTTTTCTAACAGATAGCTTTTCAGGACGTCAGTCACCATGGGGTTGTTGTAATTGGTGACAATAGTATACTCACCTGACTTCACTTAAACCCCATTTGCATTGGGTGGCTTCCTTTTTGCGTCCTTTGCCGGGGGGGTGGGTGGGGGGGGTCCGTGTTTTAGGAATGACAGGCTTCGGATGTGAAGCCTATGCTCTCTCCCTTTGGCGTGGGGTTCAAAGCGGGGCCCCGCATTTTTTTAGAAGGTGAACAGTATTATTTGGTGCTGTTTAGAACTATGATTTAGCTAGACAAAATTCTAATTTCAAAAGAGGAATATTGGTGAAATTTCTATTTCAGAAACTGGAGGAGGTTCAGGACCTGCCGTAATCCGAAACTGCTTTGTGCGGCTATGAAACTGGCATCGCTGTGGTCGTAGAATCGCCTTGTTTGCAGAATGAATCATGAATGCGCAATGATTAGCCAGTTGTCGGAACGTAAATAATAATTTGTTTTACTCTCAAACTGGGTCATGCTACGACACGCTGAAAGGACGCCGCTCAGTGTAAAGGGGACTTAAGCATGTCTGAATATGCTTAATTGGGGCATGTACGTGAAGGCAGCGCGCCAACTGCCACCCCCTCCTTAACCATTATTTCATTATTTTTTGGCTATCCGAAGCATATCACTCACCTTGTACACACCTCTTTTAATAGCAGTGCTGATCACTTTATATATCAAGACACATATTAATGGGGGTTAATGTGATCAGAGTCTTCTATAACCACACTCAACTGACTGAGACCCAGTGGAAGAGATTTTGGACCAGCACGTCCGTTGTGTTGGAGTTTCCAGACAGGATTAAGTAGTTGACATACCGGTATGATATAACTTCAGTGAAGGAGGGAGAGGGGGTACTTTAAGATGTTGAGTTTTTGTAACCTCCTGACGTAGAGTTAAAAAGGGGATTCCCCTTTAGTCACTAATAAATATATCTAAAAATAGACCTGACGTACTGGGTGACCAAATTTAAGTAAATACAACACGTACGGATATGTATGCTTACTCATGTCGTCTCACTTAACAACAAATGTGACATTCAATTCTTTAGCCCCACTAGAGTTAACATATGGTCTTAAAACAATAGCGATAAAGATAACTACACTCGCACCTTCAATTCTCATGAATATCAATGCCACAGCCAATAACGTGGATTCGCGCCCTCCACCGCGCATACATGTATGTTTTGGTCGACGTTTTACATGTAAATTCTTCATTTGAGCTGCTTCCCATTATAACCTACAGTCTCTTAATTTTTGTACAGTCTCTTCATTCATGTTAGTATTGGAGTACATGTACCAACATCAAATATACCTATAATTTTTAGAAAAATGCTGACATACAAATACATGTCCAACCGCCTGCGAAGCAGGCCACTTTTGTTTTGGAGTGTAGAATTTGTCCTTTCTTCTCCTGGAAACTGGGTATTTCCAACACGTGTGCGTTCAGTGCGTGTGAGTCATTAAAATAAATTGTTTCAGACCTATCTGTATATTGAGACCCTTTCCCAATGGGTCTGATATCCCGTTCATACTGCCATCTGAAAAAATACGGATTTTGTTAATTCGAATTTCTGATAAAAATCCGATTTGCTTGCTTGTTCACACACGCAACGCGAAACCAAATCCCACATTGAAAAAAAATCCAGGTTTTACTATTGTTTTGACACTTGCACGTGCGCCAAATAGATACAAGAAAGGGGATTCCCCAACTTCACGCACAATTTTCGGAGCGTAAATACAGACTTGACATTTAATATGGAATATTTTAGTTTCGAAGGTATACCTAGATAAAAATAGGTTCTTTTTTCAAAAAACTCCGATCTCAAATAAGATTTGTGAATGTAAAAGTGTGCAGTCAGGTGTGTCACTACCAATTAATTGACTTTCATGCCTGTTGCGCTGCTACATTATGTAATTTGCAGTGATTTAATTGGGTAGTGTTCCTTTGGGCTGATCAAAGCTTGGCTTAGGCAAAGCTTGGTTCTGTCAAAAAAGTATCCATATTTCGGCAACTACTGCATAGAAGAATTTGAAATTTTGCATGCAAGCGGTCNAATGCTCTCTCCCTTTGGCGTGGGGTTCAAAGCGGGGCCCCGCATTTTTTAGAAGGTGAACGTTATTATTTGGTTCTGTTTAGAACTATGATTTAGCTAGACAAAATTCTAATTTCAAAAGGGGAATATTGGTGAAATTTCTATTTCACAAACCTGAGGGGGTCGGGACCCCCTTTACACCCTCTGCCGTAATCCGAAACTACTTTGTGCGACCATAAAATTGGCATCGCTGTGGTCGTAGAAAGGAGGCACAAGCATCGCTTTGGTTGCAGAATGAATGTTCAATGATTGGCCAGTTGGCGGAACGTGAATAATAATTTGTTTAACTCTTAAACGGGGCCATGCTACGGGACGCAGAAAGGACGCTGCCCAGTGTAAAGGGGGTTTAAGCATGTCTGAATATGCTTAATTGGGGCATGTACGTGAATGCAGCGCGCCAACTGCCATCCCCTCATTAACCATTATTTCATTATTTTCTATGTGTTTGGCTATCCGAAGCATATCACTCACCTTACACGCACCTCTTTTAATAGCAGTGCTGATCACTTTATATCAAGACACATATTAATGGGGGTTAATGTGATCAGTCTTCTATAACCACACTCAACTGACTTAGACCGAGTGGAAGAGATTTTGGACCAGTACGTCCGTCGTGTTAGCGTTTCCAGACAGAATTAAGCTAATACCGTTATCACATATCTTCAGTGAAGGAGGAGGGGAGGGGGGGTCAAGGGCAACTGATATTTTTTTTACTTTAAGATGTGGAGTTTTTGTAACCTCCTCTGACTGTAAATTTACGTAGACTAAAGAAGGGGATTCCCCTTTAAGCCTAGGTCCCAACCGAACGTACGGGTTGCTACGTGTGGTCTACGGCCAAAAAATGGGGAAAACGTGGGAGTTCGTGCGTGAGGAGCACGTCCATCGTACGACTTTTGGAGGACGGAAACAGCACGTAGAAATTTTTCACCAATTACTTTCACCATTCCCTACGATCTAGTTACGTCCTAGCCGGACGCAAGGAACTTAAAAACCGTGCGTCCAAAACGTAGTTGGGACCTAGGCTTTAGTCACATGTACCGGATACTGGTAAATATATGCGATTTAAAAATAGACTGGGTAAGTCAATAGTGACCAAATTTAAGTAAATACAACACGTACGCACATGTATGCTTACTTTTGTCGTCTCACTTAACAACAAATGTGACATTCAATTTCTTAGCCCCACTAGAGATAACATATGGTCTTAAAATAATAGCGATAAAGATAGCAATACTCGCACATTCAATTCTCATGAATATCAATGCCACAGCCATTAACGTGGATTCTCGCCCTCCACTGCGCATATGTTTTAGTCGACGTTTTACATGTAGATTCTTCATTTGAGCTGCTTCCCATTATAACATACAGTCTCTTCATTTATGTACAGTCTCTTCATTTATGTTAGTAGGCTATCTGAGGACCAACACCAAATATATCAATATTTTTTTAGAAAAATGCTGACATACAAATACATGTTCAACCGCCTGCGAAGCTGGCCACTTTTGTTTTGGAGTGTAAATTTGTTCTTCCTTCTCTTGGAAGCTGGGTATTTCCAACACGTGTGTGTTCAGAGGGTGAGTCATTAAAATAAATTGTTTCAGACCGATTTGTATATTGAGACCCTTTCCCAATGGGTCTAATATCCCGTTCACACTGCCATCTGAAAAAATCCGGATTTTTTTTTAATCCGAATTTCTGATAAAAATCCGATTTGCTTGCTTGTTCACACACGCAAAGCGAAACCGAATCCCACTTGCGCATGCGCCAAATAGAGATTCAAGAAAGGGGATTCCCCTTGAGCTCACGATTTTCGGAACGTAAATAGTATATTACCACTTCATAGGATAAGAATTACTACTGTTACTGCGTACCAGTCAATAACTCAACAACAAATCTTTAAATTTCACCTTTATTGTTCACGCACATTTTTTAGCTATTTATAGTGAGTTCTAAGGTGAATTCTGGGGTGAATTCTGAGGTAAGTTCTGAAGCGAGTTCTGAGGCGTTTTCTGATGTGGTGAAACTAAACAAAAAATAAGTAAAATAGATAAATAATAATAATAATAAATAAACATATTACATCAAGTGTACACACAAATGCAAATAAAGAATGGAGAGAGAGAGAGAGAGATACGAACACGCAAATATCGACAATATGACTAAACTATGAAATTAAATATATATCTATAGTACTTACACAACATTCGGCAACTTAAAGATTGAGTACACAGTAACGTGGCGGCCAGGAAAGCAATTGTCTAGAAGGATAACGTACATGTCGACTAAATATATATATATATTGATATAAAAAAGATGACTTTATACTAATATCACCTGACTTAATGAATAACTAATAGGTGACGACGGTTTACAAATCTTTTATATCAAAATAAATGAACAATTAAATATGTACATATCCAAAGTGTTCTACGTGTCTTACCTTATTACATTTCGAAGAGAAAAAACCTGACCGCACCCAGAAGTGGTGTGCGCTCGCTTTTATAGTAAGCGTTGGCAAAAAGTACTCAAATATTCATGACCCTATTACAGCGACATTGCAGTAGGTGTGATAACATGATATATTTGTCGATGTCGACAACAACTACTTCATAGTGTGAAGTTCTATAGAGGTAGAATCGGAATGGGGACGGGGTTGTTTCGGCTAGGTACGCTGACATTTGTCAAGCTTTCCCCTGGGTGGACAATTATATACATGCATAATCTATTTCACATTGCTACTTCCTAAACCATAGTTAGGAACTTGATACGTCGGGGATTAATAAACCTATCATTATAGGGATTTGAGGAATTTAATTGTGACTTGGGGTGTGGTCAACCCTGGGGGTACTCTATTCTAATTAGTACATCGTATTTTATGCTAAGAACAGGAAGCGTGGCTACATACCATTCTGGATGTGGAAGGACACTTCGGATTTATTTTATTTATTATTTATTCATTTATTATTATTATTTATTTTTATTTTATTTATTTATTTATTTATTTATTTGTTTGTTTTTTTTTTTTTTTTTTGAGGGGTGGGGGGAGGGGGTGGGGAGTGGTCCTGGGAACGGTTGAGTCTAATTGGAATTGTAATTCCTGCTATCTGCCCTTAGACCAATAAAGTTGAGAACGCAAGGCTATGGGGATTGAAAAATCTTTGGGGATGTGTATGGGTCTTTCTGGGTTTTTGTGACATTGGGGGGGGGGGGGGGGGGTTGGCCGTCCCTGGGGGGATTGATTTTAAATTTTATATCGTTATTCGTGTTTTTGCCCTTACGCCATAACAGTTAGGAACATAAAACCTTTCGGGCTGATTAGCTCACCATTGAGGATATGCATAGGTTTTCGGGAATGTATGATATTTCAGGTGTGGCAGGGTGGTTGATTCTATTTTTCACATCGTTATTTCTGCCATCTATACCCTTAAATTTTAAGGAACATGAAACGGAGATTGATGAACCAGTCATTTTTAATCAATGTGCATGGGTCCTTGAGAAATGTAGAGAAAAGCAGAAGCACATACAGAACTAAATGGACTTCCAGCCATATGCATAAATATAGGTCAGGGAATCCAAGAAGTTGTACAACTTCTTGGGGAATGCAATTAAAAACTAATTCAAGGCCCCACAGACTCAGGAATCCTAGCGTTTAACTGCTGTTGTGTCTTAACACAAAACAAAAACGTTAATTAACTAAGAGCAGTAATTACATGTGTGTTTTATGCTAAAGAACAACGGGACTTGGACCCTATGATTCCTGAGAGTATGGGTCTTGAATGGGCTTTAATTAACTTGAGCTATATTCAAGAATACTACCGAAGGTTTGTTATTAAGTACTGTCTACTGCTTTCTCTGCATTTTCCCTTCCTTCCTAACTCGAAGACCGCCTTCAGATTCACACATCGTACTAACTGGGTCGGTCCAACTCTGCAAGGAATCTGACTNGGTTGTAAGAGTAGCTTAAGGATTACTACTTCATAGTGTGAAGTTCTATAGAGGTAGAATCGGAATGGGGACGGGGTTGTCTCGGCTAGGTACGCTGACATGGGCAAGCTTTACCCTGGGTGGACAATTATATATACATGCTATTTCACATTGTTATTTCCTAAACCATCATAGTTAGGAACTTGATACGTCAGGGATTAATAAACCTATCATTGTAGGTTTTGGGGGTATGAAATTGTGTGGTCGACCCTGGGGGTGGTCTATTCTAATTTGTACATCGTATTTTATGCTAGGAACATGGAACGTGCCTACATACAATTTTGGATATATATATATATATATATATATATATATATAATTTTTTTTTTTTTTTTTGGGGGGGGGGAGTCCTGGGGGCGGTTGAGTCTAATTGGCATTGTAATTCCTGCTATCTGCCCTTAGACCAATAAAGTTGAGAACGCAAGGCTATGGGGATTGAAAAATCTTTGGGGATGTGTACATGTATGGGTCCTTCTGGGTTTTTGTGACATTGGGTTTGGCCGTACCTGGGGAGGTTGATTTTAAATTTTATATCGTTATTCGTGCTTTTGCCCTTACGCCATTACAGTTAAGAAAATAAAACCTTCCGGGCTGATAAGCTTACCATTGAGGATATGCATAGGTTTCCGGGAATGTTAGTATGATATTTCAGGTGTGGCTATTCCGGGGGCTGGTTGATTCTATTTTTCACATCGTTATTTCTGCCTTCTATACCCTTAAATTTTAGGTACATGAAACGGAGATTGATGAACCAGTCATTTTTAATGAATGTGCATGGGTCCTTGAGAAATGTAGAGAACAGCAGAAGCACATACAGAACTAAATGGACTTCCAGCCATATGCATAAATATAGGTCAGGGAATCCAAGAAGTTGTACAAATTCTTGGGGAATCCAATTCAAAACTAATTCAAGGCCCTACACACTCAGGAATCCTAGCGTTTAACTGCTGTTGTGTCTTAACACAAAACAAAACTGTTAATTACCCAAGAGCAGTAATAATATTATTACATGTGTGTTTTATGTTAAAGAACAACGGGACTTGGACCCTAGGATTCCTGAGAGTATGGGTCTTGAATGGGTTTTAATTAACTTGAGCTTTATTCAAGAATACTACCGAATGTTTGTTATTAAGTACTGTCTGCTGCTTTCTTTGCATTTTCCCTTCCTTCCTAACTCGAAGACCGCCTTCAGATTCGCACATCGTACTAACTGGGTCGGTCCAACTCTGCAAGGAATCTGACTTAAGTGCAATCTATGGAATCATCTTTATTTTCTGACAAACTACTAATCACCCCACCCCTAGGGGCGGCCACACCCCAAGTCACACTAAAATTCACATGTAGCCCACTCATGCACCAAAGACTCATGTTCCTAATTCGAATGGTTTAGGAGATGAAATAAATAACGGTAATATATTAGTCAACCATACCCAGGGTCAGCCATACCCCTAGTCACAAAAAGAAAAAAAAAAGATGATGTGCCTATGCACACCCCGACATTTTAGTTTCCTCAACCTAAAGACCTATGGGTACATAGCAGAAAATAAAATTTAAAGATAATAATCAACCACCCCTAGGGACGGCAACACCCATAGTCACCAAAAATTCGAAGGACACGTGCACATCCCTAATGGCAAGTTTAAATATCCCCAACGTCTCATGTTCCTCACTTTAATGGACAGAGGATAACAGTAACAACGATATAAAAATATACCCCCCTTCCGAAGGACTGCAAAGTCACACTACTTAAGATCTACCGGTAGATAGCAGAAATTACGGTGTAAAAATTACAATCAGCCCAAATAGAAAGTGAAATCTGTACATCGCTCGCTCGTGCGATACGGGCGCACCTGCGTGGCGGTTATTTACTTATGTGTACGTATACCGCGGAATCTTACACATCATACTATCAGCCTGGGGGCTTGTATCTACCCTCTACCAGGACCGCAGTTATTATGCGGATATTTTCTCTGAGGCGAGTACAGAGAATAACCGTGGATTTAACCAGAGATATATCTATAAATATCCAGTGATAAATATGTCTTTGGTCCTGGTGGAGGTAGAGTTTATCTAATGAGGCAAGGCCACAGTTTGTTTTTGCTTCATACATGTAACTAGGCAAAGATAGCATAACACGTCTAATATATATGTGTGTGTGTGTGTGTGTGTGTGTGTTAAGTACATATACACACAAAGGGTGCCGATACAAATACATCTGCTGTTTATCCACTATTACCGTCTATCACCCGTATCGTATGTCAACAATAAAATTACAACTGGAATATTTCGCTCGCTGTGAGCCTCTGTGTATTTTTCTATCGTTTTGGGAAAGGATGGGTGTTGGCCTTTGAAAAAGACATCCATGACACGATTATCTTCAGACCAAAGGAACTAATGCATCGATGATAGGATATTATCAGACTGTGAAATATTGGGCAGATAACATTAAATGATCACATTTGATTCTATCATCCAACAAACTGATAGCGGTTAACTAAGCGGTGCAGGGGTAGGCTACTCATACTTATTACAGGGCATGTCATCTGACATGCAGCTTAGATATGCTGTGGTTTTATCACGCAGTACTGTAATCATTGCTCCTAATCCAGGCAATGAAACTGGAAGTTTGATAATCAGTTGGCTGTTCGAATAGATTTGGCTATCACTGGGCAATCAGTGCCTATTAAATAACCGCGTGGATTGTGTAAATCAGTACACAGTATTTTATTGGACAGAGATGGCAGGCAACATGAGGATTATAGTATTTTACTCTCTTGTTGCTTTATCGTTTGGAAAAGACATGATCTCCTCACTGCCGGCGAAGAGAGCAAAAGGTATAATCATACGCCAACATATTGTTACAGTACATTGTGATCTGAATTGAAGCGGCATGTGTCACTGTGGCCCCAAGGGTAGAAATAATCCTTGTGACAGCAGTGGGTGAACTGTTTATTTCTATTTATTCTATTTTGAACATGAGAGAGAGCGAGAGAAATAGAGAGGGGGAGCATGTGAGACAGATAGATTAATAAAAGAGAGAGAGAGGGGTTATCAATAGCACGAGCATATCAGGGTATACATTTATACATATATAAATGTATATAAATACATATATAAATGTATATATCAATAAAATGCCATCAACATCTAACAAAAAGAACCCCTTGCATTTTTCATTTTTGATTTTTATTTTATACTTAGGGTGTAGCATCGAGGGGGACATAGCCTTTGTTGTGGACAGTTCCGGTAGCATTGGTCAGAATAACTGGAAGACACAGTTGCGGTTTATAGAGGAACTTGTCCGAGGATTTGTCGTGGGCCCAAACGACGTCCATATCGCCCTTATAACTTATAGCACTGGGTACAAAGTCGAGTTTCATCTAAAAGAATACGAAACTAAAGAGGAAGTTCTAGCCAGGATAAGGGATGTAAATTACACCGGAGGATCGACGGAAACGCACAAAGGAATCCGTATGATGCGTGTTGGAATATTTAACCCCCGAAACCCACAAGGACCGCGCACCGGAATTCCTCATGTTGGAATCGTGGTTACCGACGGCTTCTCTGATAACCCCAACGCTACTGTCAAACAAGCCCGTCTAGCAAAGACTGAAAACATTATCATGTTTGCTGTCGGAATTGGAAGTGAAACTCGTTTTGAGGAACTAATCGACATAGCGACTCGACCTAAAGAACAACATGTGTTTCATGTCGGTGATTTTGACGCATTGGCATCAATTCAAGAGGTTATTCTGCAGGAGATTTGCAATGGTTTGTAGTATTCCAGGGGCCCGTTTCACTTAAACAAACCCTTGAGGTTGTTTTAATTTAAAGACGGAACTGTAAGCTTCTTTTTGTCGTAAGATATATAGTGGAAGTCCGAGTAAATGAAATGTGCTTGTTCTTTAACAAGAAATACATGGTTTTAACCTCTCAGAGCAATATATAATTTGTTCAAATATACTACTATGATAAAGCAATCATCGTGAGAATACGTTCTCCCAGTAAAAGTTCTTTCGGGGAAACGGGTCCTATGTGCTATGAATTTGATTTTTCAGAGACAAAACGTCTACCCTCTTTTAAAATTCAAAGCACAGGTATCTAAGACAACTCATGTTCTTAATTACAAACTATTTTGACACACGGGAAATAAGTATATATAAATTTAAGTGAAATATGATGTAAAACCCCTCCCGTATGCCTTTGACCAAGTCTTTCTTATTCTAGCTCTCTGTCCAAATAACTGGACCGCGAGAGGAGGAAAGTGCTACTATGTGTCTTCCACTGCCCTGTCATACGCGGAAGCCGGACAGCGCTGTGTTGACCTCCACTACAGCGCTACGCTCGCCACAGCCAAGACGAAGATTGAATACAAGACGATAACGAAGATGATATACACAAAGACTGGATACAACTTCTCTTACTACATCGGTAAGTTTGCAGCAGTCAACCAGGTCTTTTTTTATTTTTATTTTTTTTTATTATTATTATGAAGTCACAAATGGTACTCCATTTTTATATGCCTGAACAGCACTGTTGTCAACTACTAGCGATTGTTTTTACGTAATTGTTGTATGTGCCTTCTAAGCCCTTGCCTTTAAGTCGATAACTAGCTCTTCACTTAGCTTTTCTAGGCCGGACAACAGTTCTCTGCGGATTTTTCTATGAATTCGAAACAAATATTCGTGTTTTTTTTTTCGATAATATTAATCGAAAAATATTTTTCGATTATTTTAATCATTCAGTCACTTCCTCTCTCAGATATGCTTTATTTGCTTTCCCATTCAAAACTACTTAAAGTATTGTGTAGAACAGTTTCATTAGCAGTATGCAGTAGTAGCACTATAATAATAACTAGGTATGAATAACCTATCCATGTTCCGCACACTATTGATAAAAGCATTAATGTTTGGAATTAATTTAACTGGATAACAGAAGATCATTGGGGAATCGGTGGAAGACGTGGGGAAACAGCGGCAAAGCTGTCCGGAACATGTAATTTGGGGGGAGGGTCTGAATGTGATACGTTCTTTTGTATTGGTACAGTTATTACCATATATTATTTTGTAATTATTTTGTATTTATTTTACATTATTTTGTAATGATACGTAAATATGAACGCCATTTTCTTTAAATGGGTGTTTGTCAACCGGTATTTTTTCTCTCCCTGAGAATATAATGCCGTGAATGTGGGCAGATTTTTATTCTTCACACCATTTCCATCTCTTTTACAATCTATTATTTAAGTGCACAGCAAACTTTTGATATTAGGTGGATCTGCATGTACCTTATAAAAATTTTGTTGGTCAAACTATTTGTTTTAGGGCTTGACAATGAGAGATCTGGTGGAGCTGACTTCATATTTGCAGACAACTCGACTTCGGTCCTGTACAGCGAATGGATCTCTGAAGTCCCGAGTGGACAGAGACAGGGGTGCGTCATGTTGGATAAGACGCATTCATTCATGTGGGACGTCACTGAATGTTCCGTCAGTCTTCCATTTGTTTGTGAAATCGACAAGACTCGACGTACTTAAAAAGGATAGAAAAACGACCAAAATTATTGTTCTGGTTCTCAAAGTACATAGTCGGACTAGAAGAGACCAGCTAACAATTCAGTCATTCAATGGTGCAGAACGGCGCAGAGATGTTGATTTTACATGCACCCATATATCTTCAGTGATTTTCATAGCTAAGATGTGGTAGTTGAGATGGTGCATTCTAGACACGCAAAGGTTTTACTGTATGGGCTGACGTGACAGGTCAGGTCAAAGTATACTAGTAGATAATGTTATGGATTTTATATATGTGACAGTTAACTTATCATACCGAAGGTATACCACACGCAATAAGGACAGCATACTTTTTATTATTTGTGTATCCTTGTCTAAGGATGTACTTGATGAAAATGATCTTTCTAAGAACACCTTACTGGGATATCTAATATCATTAAACACAGATTGTAACTTTCTAAAATCTTAATTAAATAAATGACGCTGGGAACTCACCCTTGAAGAACAATTTTGAAGTAGTTAAATGGAGCACAACTATAACCTCCAGACGTTCATTTGTATTCCATCATATGTTGGAGACTATGAAACTTTCAATCATAAAGTGATCATGCTCAAAAAGCAAATAAATAAATAGGAATAAACTATCACTGAAGATCCGTGAGGTTCCCTTACAGGCAGCGTGCGTAGCAAATTTTAAGAAGACTGGCTAAAGAACCAGATGGTAATGTTAATAAGATAATAATTGTAAAAAAATATTCAGTCTAAAAGCTAAACTCCTTCAGGAGCTTTACCTGTTCAACGTGAAATAAATAACGGGCGTCCTAAAGTGAATTCTACAAGACGTAGGGCAGCTATAGGGAAAATGTTTTGGTCATTTCTATGGGAAAGCTACAAGGAAAATTTTCTATGGGAAAGCTACAAGGAAAATTTTCTATGGGATAGCACATTTGAGTTGCAGTTAAACATGCAGAGCAATCAAATGTTTATTATAGAACATATGAGACTTACATGCAGCTGAAGGTGATTCCAGATTCTAAGCAATATGAGACTGAGCAGCTTTTTTTCCAATCCGTTGATATATACTTGTATTACTTCTAATACTTCACTGATATATACTTGTAATTATTTTACATATAAAAATTCTTATTACCTTGCTTCGCCAACATTATGGTTTTGTGTTTTTAGTCGTCCTATAAGTCTAAGGTATTTATCGCCTATCTAGAATAAAGATATACATGTAAGATTGTTTACAATACCGTTTTCGGTCAACTGTGGAGTTCTGTTGAGGCCCTGCCCTGGGTGGAAATAATGCAGCTTGCTGGGGCTTATTCAGCACGGGGTCTTATTGTTTTAATGATGGGCCCCAAAAACTGGATGGAAACAATTTAATTATTTCAGCAACCTTAACACACACCTACCATACGCAGTTTTACAAGGGGAAAATAATGTAGTTTGATAATGATGGGGGAAATATTGAAATTTATTCCGTCTATCATAGGCAGTTTTACTAGGGAAGGTAGTGAAGTCTGATAATGATGAGGGAAATATTGACATTTATTCATTTTATATCTACCAGACAGGTGGCTTTGATCAGCTTCAGACTACCGACAAAAATAATGGAACTGAAAATAGAGAGAAAGCTATCAAATTACTTGGAAGAAGTCTATTTTCGTCAGCCTAAGCTTGCTTTTATCGGGTACGGTATCTGAAATCTTGATAAAACATTTAGTATAGATAGATTTTCTCAATGGTCAAGATAGATAACAATTTCAACCGAACCGAGATCTCGAAATATTTTGAATTTTTTTCTCTTCCTTAGCGAATGTCTATACTGTTGACTATCGTTTTTTCGAATGTTTGTACAGGTATATATCACTTTCATCAAAATTTTGGTATTGGATTTTTAATCGTCCTTTGAGAACAGGTATTTATCGCATATCTAAAACAGAGACATGCACGCTTACTCGTTAATAATACCGTATCCGGTCCACTGTAGAGTTCTAATGAAACAAACCCCCTGGATGGTAAAAATGAAACTTGCACTGATTTAATCAGCACTTGGTTAAACTATTCTTTTTATTGGGTCCCTGAAACTGGATGGCAATAATATATTTATTTCGCCTAACCTAAAGCAAGTCTAACATGCGAAGTTTTACCAAGAAAAGTAATGTACTTTGATAATGATGATGAGGGAAATATTGAAATTTATTTATTTTATATCTACCAGAGGAATGGTTTCAGTTAGCTGTGCAGACACTCGAGATAAAGTGATGAAAATAAAAATATTGAGAAAGCTATCAAATTACCTGGAAGAAGTCTATTTTCTTCAGACTAAGCTTGCTTTTATCGGGTACGTATCTAAAATCTTGATAAAACATTTAGTATAGATAGATTTTCTCAATGGTCAAGATAGATAACAATTTCAACCTAACCTTAGCGGATGTCTGTACTCTTGACTATCGTTTTTTCGAATGTTTGTATATATCACTTTCATCAAAATTTTGGTATTGGATTTTTAATCGTCCTTTGAGAACAGGTATTTATCGCATATCTAAAACAGAGACATGCACGCTTACTTGTTAATAATACCGTATCCGGTCCACTGTAGAGTTCTAATGAAACAAACCCCCTGGATGGTAAAAATGAACCNCCCCAGCCCTGCTGTTTATCCACTATTACCGTCTATCACCCGTATCTTATGTCAACAAAAAATTACAACTGGAATATTTCGCTCGCTGTGAGCCTCTGTGTATTTTTCTATCGTTTTGGGAAAGGACAGGTGTTGGCCTTTAAAAAATACATCTATGACACGATTATCTTCAGACCAAAGGAACCAATGCATCGATGATAGGATATTATCAGACTGTGAAATATTGGGCAGATAAAATTTAATAATCACATTTGATTCTATTATCCAACAAACTGATAGCGGTTAACTAAGCGGTGCAGGGGTAGGCTACTCATACTTATTACAGGGCATGTCATCTGGCATGCAGCTTAGATATGCTGTGGTTTTATCACGCAGTACTGTAATCATTGCCCCTAATCCAGGCAGTGAAACTGGAAGTTTGATAATCAGTTGGCTGTTTGAATAGATTGGGCTATCACTGGGCAATCAATGCCTATTAAATAACCGCGTGGATAGTGTAAATCAGTACACAGTATTTTATTGGACAGAGATGGCAGGCAACATGAGGATTATAGTATTTTACTCTCTTGTTGCTTTATCGTTTGGAAAAGACATGATCTCCTCACTTCCGGCGAAAAGAGCAAAAGGTATAAATATACGTCAACATAATGTTACAGTGCATTGTGATCTTAATTGAAGCGACATGTGTCACTGTGGCCCCAAGGGTAGAAATAATCCTTGTGACAGCAGTGGGTGAACTGTTTATTTCTATTTATTTTATTTATAACATGAGAGAGAGAGAAATAGAGAGAGGGAGCATGTGAGGCAGATAGATAGATAAAAGAGAGAGAGAGGTTATCAATAGCACGAGCATATTAGGGTATACATTTATATAAAAAGGTATATATCCATAAAATGCCATCAACATCTAACAAAAGGAATCCCTTGCATTTTTCATTTTGATTTTTATTTTATACTTAGGGTGTAGCATCGAGGGGGACATAGCCTTTGTTGTGGACAATTCCAATAGCATTGGTCATAAAAACTGGGAGACACAGTTGCGGTTTATAGAGGAACTTGTCCGAGGATTTGTCGTGGGCCCAAACGACGTCCATATCGCCCTTTTAACTTATAGCACTGGGTACAAAATCGAGTTTCATCTAAAAGAATACGAAACTAAAGAGGAAGTTCTAGCCAGGATAAGGGATTCGAATTACACAGGAGGATCGACGGGAACGGACCGAGGGATCCGTATGATGCGTATTGGAATCTTTAACCCCCGAAACCGAAAAGGACCGCGCACCGGAATACCTCATGTTGGAATTGTGGTTACCGACGGCTGCTCTGATAATCCCAACGCTACCGTCTCAGAAGCCCGTCTAGCAAAGACTGAAAACATTATCATGTTTGCTGTCGGAATTGGAAGTGAAACTCGTTTTGAGGAACTAATCGACATAGCGACTCGACCTAAAGAACAACATGTGTTTCATGTCGGTGATTTTGACGCATTGGCATCAATTCAAGAGGTTATTCTGCAGGAGATTTGCAATGGTTTGTAGTATTCCAGGGGCCCGTTTCACTTAAACAAACCCTTGAGGTTGTTTTAATTTAAAGACGGAACTGTAAGCTTCTTTTTGTCGTAAGATATATAGTGGAAGTCCGAGTAAATGAAATGTGCTTGTTCTTTAACAAGAAATACATGGTTTTAACCTCTCAGAGCAATATATAATTTGTTCAAATATACTGCTATGATAAAGCAATCATCGTGAGAATACGTTCACAAAACTCCCAGTACAAGTTATGTTTGGGGAAACGGGCCCTAGGCATTGCGTTTATCTTTTTTTTTCTCACGGGTAACTAACTTAAAATATTCATAGCACGATGCACAGGTATCTAAGACAACTCAAGTTCTTAATTACAAACTATTTTGACACACAGGAAATAATTATATATAAATGTAAAGGAAATTGTAATAATAAACCCTCCCATATGCCTTTGACCAAGTCTATCTTATTCTAGCGCTGTGTCCAAAAAACTGGACTGCGAGCGGAAAAAAGTGCTACTATGTGTCTTCCACTGCCCTGTCATACGCGGAAGCCGGACAGCGCTGTGTTGACCTCCACTACAGCGCTACGCTCGCCACAGCCAAGACGAAGATTGAATACAAGACGATAACAAAAATGATATACACAAAGACTGGATACAACTTCTCTTACTACATCGGTAAGTTTGCAGCAGTCAACCAGGTCTTTTTTTATTTTTATTTTTATTTTTTTATTATTATTATGAAGTCACAAATGGTACTCCATTTTTATATGCCTGAACAGCACTGTTGTCAACTACTAGCGATTGTTTTTACGTAATTGTTGTATGTGCCTTCTAAGCCCTTGCCTTTAAGTCGATAACTAGCTCTTCACTTAGCCGTTCTAGGTCGGACAACAGTTCTCTGCGGATTTTTCTTTGAATTCGAAACAAATATTCCTGTTTTTTTTCGATAATATTAATCGAAAAATATTTTTCGATTATTTTAATCATTCAGTCACTTCCTCTCTCAGCTATCCTTTATTTGCTTACCCATTCAAAACTACCATAACATGCAGTAGTAGCACTATAATAATCCTTAGGTATGTATAACCTTTCCATGTGCCGCACACTATTGATAAGAGCATTAATGTTTGGAATTAGTTAAATTGGATAACAGAAGAACATAAGAGAATCGGTGGAAGACGTAGGGAAACAGCAGGGGGGCTGAATGTGATACGAACGTTTGATTGGTACAGTTACTACCATATATTATTTTGTAATTACTTTGTATTTATTTTACATTATTTTGTAATGATACGTAAATATGAACGCTTCTTTCTTTAAAAGGGTGTTTATCAATTGGTACTTTTTTCTCTCTATGAATATAATGACGTGTGCGCGGGCAGGTTTTTATTCTTCACACCATTCCATCTCTTTTTACAATCTATTATTTAAGTGCAAAGCAAACTTTTGATATTAAGTGGATCAGCATGTACCTTATAAAAACTTTCTGTTGTTCAAAAATTATTTGTTCCAGGGCTTGACAATGAAAGATCTGGTGGAGCTGACTTCATATTTGCAGACAACTCGACTTCGGTCCTGTACAGCGAATGGATCTCTGAAGTCCCGAGTGGACAGAGACAGGGGTGCGTCATGTTGGATAAGACGCATTCATTCATGTGGGACGTCACTGAATGTTCCGTCAGTCTTCCATTTGTTTGTGAAATCGACAAGACTCGACGTACTTAAAAAGGATAGAAAAACGACCAAAATTATTGTTCTGGTTCTCAAAGTACATAGTCGGACTAGAAGAGACCACCTAACAATTCAGTCATTCAATGGTGCAGAACGGCGCAGAGATGTTGATTTTACATGCACCCATATATCTTCAGTGATTTTCATAGCTAAGATGTGGTAGTTGAGATGGTGCATTCTAGACACGCAAAGGTTTTACTGTATGGGCTGACGTGACAGGTCAGGTCAAAGTATACTAGTAGATAATGTTATGGATTTTATATATGTGACAGTTAACTTATCATACCGAAGGTATACCACACGCAATAAGGACAGCATACTTTTTATTATTTGTGTATCCTTGTCTGAGGATGTACTTGATGAAAATGATCTTTCTAGGAACACCTTACTGAGATATCTAATATCATTAAACACTGATTGTAACTTTCTAAAATCTTAATTAAATAAATGACGCTGGGAACTCACCCTTGAAGAACAATTTTGAAGTAGTTAAATGGAGCACAACTATAACCTCCAGATGTACATTTGTATTCCATCATATGTTGGAGACTATGAAACGTTCAATCATAAAGTGATCATGTAGAGCCCCCCGCTCAAAAAGCAAATAAATAAATAGGAATAAACTATCACTGAAGATCCGTGAGGTTCCCTTACAGGCAGCGTGCGTAGCAAATTTTAAGAAGACTGGCTAAAGAACCAGATGGTAATGTTAATAAGATAATAATTGTAAAAAAAGATTCAGTCTAAAAGCTAAACTCCTTCAGGAGCTTTACCTGTTCAACGTGAAATAAATAACGGGCGTCCTAAAGTGAATTCTACAAGACGTAGGACAGCTATAGGGAAAATGTTTTGGTCATTTCTATGGGAAAGCTACAAGGAAAATTTTCTATGGGAAAGCTACAAGGAAAATTTTCTATGGGATAGCACATTTGAGTTGCAGTTAAACATGCAGAGCAATCAAATGTTTATTATAGAACATATGAGACTTATATGCAGCTGAAGGTAATTCCAGATTCTAAGCAATATGAGACTGAGCAGCTTTTTTTCCAATCCGTTGATATATACTTGTATTACTTCTAATACTTCACTGATATATACTTGTAATTATTTTACATATAAAAATTCTTATTACCTTGCTTCGCCAACATTATGGTTTTGTGTTTTTAGTCGTCCTATAAGTGTAAGGTATTTATCGCCTATCTAAAATAAAGATATACATGTAAGATTGTTTACAATACCGTTTTCGGTCAACTGTGGAGCTCTGTTGAGGCCCTGCCCTGGGTGGAAATAATGCAGCTTGCTGGGGCTTATTCAGCACGGGGTCTTATTGTTTTAATGATGGGCCCCAAAAACTGGATGGAAACAATTTAATTATTTCAGCAACCTTAACACACACCTACCATACGCAGTTTTACAAGGGGAAAATAATGTAGTTTGATAATGATGGGGGAAATATTGAAATTTATTCCGTCTATCATAGGCAGTTTTACTAGGGAAGGTAGTGAAGTCTGATAATGATGAGGGAAATATTGACATTTATTCATTTTATATCTACCAGACAGGTGGCTTTGATCAGCTTCAGACTACCGACAAAAATAATGGAACTGAAAATAGAAAGAAAGCTATCAAATTACTTGGAAGAAGTCTATTTTATTTAGCCTAAGCTTGCTTTTATCGGGTACGGTATCTAAAATCTTGATAAAACATTTAGTATAGATAGATTTTCTCAATGGTCAAGATAGATAACAATTTCAACCGAACCGAGATCTCGAAATATTTTGAATTTTTTTCTCTTCCTTAGCGAATGTCTATACTGTTGACTATCGTTTTTTCGAATGTTTGTACAGGTATATATCACTTTCATCAAAATTTTGGTATTGGATTTTTAATCGTCCTTTGAGAACAGGTATTTATCGCATATCTAAAACAGAGACATGCACGCTTACTCGTTAATAATACCGTATCCGGTCCACTGTAGAGTTCTAATGAAACAAACCCCCTGGATGGTAAAAATGAAACTTGCACTGATTTAATCAGCACTTGGTTAAACTATTCTTTTTATTGGGTCCCTGAAACTGGATGGCAATAATATATTTATTTCGCCTAACCTAATGCAAGTCTAACATGCGAAGTTTTACCAAGAAAAGTAATGTACTTTGATAATGATGATGAGGGAAATATTGAAATTTATTTATTTTATATCTACCAGAGGAATGGTTTCAGTTAGCTGTGCAGACAATCGAGATAAAGTGATGAAAATAAAAATATTGAGAAAGCTATCAAATTACCTGGAAGAAGTCTATTTTATTTAGCCTAAGCTTGCTTTTATCGGGTATGGTATCTAAAATCTTGATAAAACATTTAGTATAGATAGATTTTCTCAATGGTCAAGATAGATAACAATTTCAACCTAACCAAGATCTCGAAATATTTTGATTTTTTTTTTTCTCTTCCTTAGCGGATGTCTGTACTCTTGACTATCGTTTTTTCGAATGTTTGTATATATCACTTTCATCAAAAGTTTGGTATTGGATTTTTAATCGTCCTTTGAGAACAGGTATTTATCGCATATCTAAAACAGAGACATGCACGCTTACTCGTTAATAATACCGTATCCGGTCCACTGTAGAGTTCTAATGAAACAACCCCCTGGATGGTAAAAATGAAACTTGCACTGATTTAATCAGCACTTGGTTAAACTATTCTTTTTATTGGGTCCCTGAAACTGGATGGCAATAATATATTTATTTCGCCTAACCTAAAGCAAGTCTAACATGCGAAGTTTTACCAAGAAAAGTAATGTACTTTGATAATGATGATGAGGGAAATATTGAAATTTATTCCATCTATCTCTGTCAGAGGGATGGTTTCAGTCAGCTATGCAGACTATCGAGAGAATGATGGTAGTGAAAATTGACATATTGCAAGTTACTTGAATGGAGCCTATATTCATCAGCTGTAGCTTTTTTTAAAAAGATCCAGTATCTTATATATTGACAAAATCATTTCGGATCGGCAGTTAATTATAGTGGTCAAGAATGATAACAATCCCAACTGAACCCAGGCTTGTATCATTTTGGAAATATTATTGTCCTTTTCCTTGGCGGATAATTTTCCTGTAGCTTGGTGATCTGTTTATTTTTCAGAATAACTTGCTTTCATCAAAAGTATGCTCTTAGATTTTTTCTCGTCCTTTATGCCCAAGTATTTATCGCAAATCTGTTTATTCTGCCTAATTATGCCAGAGACATGGTTTTGGTCAGCTACAGACTATCGAAAAACTGTTGGAAATGAAAATAAAGACACAGCTCTAAAATTACTTGGAAAGAGGCTATTTTCATTGACGTTAGATTAAAGTGAACACGGTATCTACAATACATTATAAACAAGCATTTAGGATAGACAGGTGTTCATAATGGTCAAGAGTGATAATAACCTCAACTGATCTCTGGTCTGCTTCAAACAGATTTATGGAAGTGGAATAAGACTGACAGCTATCAATAATTTGCCTAGCTGGTAACCACCATGATTTTCTTCACATTGCCCCCCCCTCCCCGAAACAGGAATATTGTAAAGAAAATATGCATACAGGGAGGTCAGTTGAGAAAAACCATGTAGTTTGATAATGATGAGGGAAATATTGAAATCTATTCAACCTACCTTCTTGTCAAATAAACATTTTCTGCCAGCTTCAAACTGTTCAAACTGTTTACAAAGAATACTGAAAGTTGAAAGGAAGACAGAAATAAAATTACTTTTTGTTGAACGGCTTAATAGCAGTGAACAATACAAAGAAACAAAAGTGTGTCTGTTTACCACATAAAGACAATGGTCTATTTGATGTATACGGCAAACCATTGAGTGGCAGTAGCAAAGTCAGTCACACGGCAGCAACAAATATAAACATGTACATTTCTCCTAGCAAAAATGTTTAAAGGTAGAACAGTTAACTTTTATTATTATTAAATAATCTTGCAACCGGTGAGTTGGATAAATACATGGAAATTATGATAACCTCCATCGTTAGTTGTAAAGTAAAGAAAGTAAAGCTGACATGATACATGATGCATGAACCAAAATTAAATGGTCTTGCGACAACAATGTACCAAGGCAGTTGAAGATGTTTTAACTTAAAAGTGAAGAAGCAGACAGAGGATCGAAACTAAATAAAGTTAACATGAGCGAGTGTGGATAGGCTTGAAGTTTTCTCAGACCTACATGATCGCGTTTGCACACAAGCTAAAGAAAAAAAAAAGATTGGTGACAAAAGCTTAATCGTGTCTCCTTCCTTTTTCCATTCTATGAAATCAAAAGAGAGCCAATGGCAGAGATAGCGGGAAGGTGGGGGGGGGGGGGGTTTGAAAAGATCCCATTGGCTGAAACTGCATGATAGGCGCGCTGTCCAATCAGAGCACGGGAATATTCTATACGGATAAAGAAATCCAAATGCGTAGGTTATATATATGTCAAACGACCTTTGGCGAGGTACACCCAACACAGCAGCGCTGAGAAAGTTGTTGGTAACCCATTCCAGGCGTCTTCATTCAAAGGATATTCAACCTTTGTTGAAAAGCTGATATCTAAAATGCTGTCAGGATTCTTGGTTTGCAGTTTGCTCGTTGCAGGTAAGTTATTTTTTATTTATCTTTATCTTGAGGAATGCCCAAGAATTCCATCCTTTCCTGCAATGTAGGCTTCGTGTCATGTATAGTGGTATTTGGTATTTTATTGATATGCCGTATGATTTAGTTTGTTTTCAATGTCTCAGAAAAGATGCATTGAGAATTAAGTACCTCAATGTGGTGTTTTGGTAAGTCACCGTTAATCCAAGAGGTGATAAAAATGGAGTTTTCCTTCACAAGAACCAGGTAGTCATAGGCAAAGTGGGAGATCATGTTTGTTTTCACCTTCAAACCCACAAACATTAATGATTATGCTTATGGGCTTTTGCAGCAATTTTACAAATGAAATAGCCTATGTAACTATACTAAACTGAAACGATTTTAATTAACGAATATCGCTATTATCTCTTATTATCTCAAAGATACATTGCTACTATGGCATTAACATACAGGGGTATATAGCCCTAATATATTCTCGAAAAGCAAAAACGTGTCATTTTATTTTCGTCATTGTTTTTAAGTCGACATATTTACCACCATCTGAAAGATGAACCATCACCATTTTTATTGTTTGTAAAAAATGGTAAGAAGCTGCATGTCCAAGAAACATTCAACCATTCAGGCAGCAACTATGTGCATAAAAGTATTAACAACCCAAACGTTACGGACACATTTTGGACAACGGCCAATGTTGGACATTTTGTATCAATTCCTAGTTATTTAATAATAATAATAATAATAATAATAATAATATTTATTTCTTAAAACCGCACTATACTACCGTCTCAGTGCTGTTTACAGGTAAAATTATCAGGATTACAACTAATTATATAGATAATAAAAGCTAAGGTAAAAAACAATTAAAATAATTAAAGCTGGTTAAAATAGTAATGGTCTGGACAATAAAACTTTTTTCTGATAAAATGAGAAAATATTAATTAAAATATTGTAAAAATAAGAATGTTTTTAAATCTTTTTTAAAAACCTCAACACTATCAATAGTCCGAATGTGTGAGGGTAGTCGATTCCATAAAATTGGCGCTGAAATTGAAAATGCCCTGTGGCCGTAGGTTTTGGTTGTTTTTTTTATTATCATTTCTGATAAAACAAGGAGTGGAGGTGGATCTGGTAGTCCTGGTGAGACTGGGTGTACTTGGATGTAGCATCGAGTTGAAATATGAGGGGCATTCACCTCTGGTGAATTTAAAAACAAACAACAGAAATTTAAAAACAATTCTCTGTCGTACAGGAAGCCAATGTAGTTCGAATAAAATGGGTGAAATGTTTGATCTGAGAGGGATTTTGGCCGGTAGTCGTGCTGCAGCATTTTATTTATTTGTTGAGATCTAGCGCACATTGCATGTACGGACATGTTTTCTGTCACAGAAGCATAATATTTTTTTAAAATTTCATAAACGATCGTTATTTGGGTGGTAGAAAGATGGATTTCCTTACGACTCAGCTAGAAATACATGTTTGCATTTTTTGTTTGTTTAAATGATTATAAATCGACTTAAAGTGGTCGACTAAAAAACTATATAGTACATGAAGGCAGCCATTTTAGGGCTTTTATGCAGCACAGATAAGTGGCAATTCAGTTATTCGACTTTTACCATAAAATTTGTACTCCAGTAAATAAATTTTGGTGAATTTTACAGGCTTTATTTTATGCCCAGCAGCTGCGTTCATTTTTCAATTAAAACGATTTTAATGTACGTGTCCAAGATGGGTGTAGTCAAGGTAACAATTTGTATTTCACCACTGTTCTTTTGCATGAAGTCCCCAAAATGACATACTAAAAGTCCTTTCTATATCTTCAATACCCTTATAATACAGACTTGACATTTAATATGGATTATTTTTCCTATTTTTCCCATTTCGCTAACTGAAAAATGAAAATAAGGATTAAAATCGTGTTTTAGTAACTTTTCATAATCTCTTTGATGTCATTGTGACACCAGTTCATTAATTGAATTCGCCAGTGAAGCAAACAAAAACATCATCTATTTTAAGTCATACGACAACCATTTAAAGGAATAAATTGGATCTCCATAGTTTCACACTCCACAAAGAACCCTCATGTCAGTGTCTAGGCACAGCTACGGTTGCTGTTATACTTGACCTCATTTGATTGCTACTAGGGCTCTCAAGCGACAGGGCAATCTTTGGGATAGATTTTTAGAGTTTAATCTGGAAGAACAAAACTTCTCCAATTTGGTTCAATTTTGTTGTAGGACATGCAGTGCGTTGATTAGGCGAGTAACGACCTACCCAAATGTTGTCTATGTGGTTCAGTTTTGGTGACCATGGTAGCTGTTCGTTCCCTTGTTTATGTACGTTTTCTGCTGTTAAAAGTGGTCTGTGTGAACTGACAATCTCATCGTGCAACCTAAAGTTGTTCCTAAGGCCCCCTATCAAATAATAATGACCAAGTGTTTCCAAGATTATTTCTTTATTTGATGTGGCTCAGGCTTTCATCGACGACTACCTGTTTCGACAGCAATGTGGTATCTACTCCAGAAACTAACGTGGCCAATGACCCTAGTCACTTTAGACGCGGCACACGCTTTGTCTAAGGCCTCTTAGGGTTGTCTGTAAACTCTGCTTTGAGTAGTTGAGTGGTGCAAGTGAAATTTGACCTCAATAAAGAAAGCCACGCCCTTTCATTGTTCTACCCAATAAGTGTCATGGTCCCCAATTCATTAGAGAAACAGAAGACGATGTTTTCCTGTTTACAGTGGCTTTCCCAGAGATCGTCTGGTATTCTAACCCCCTGAGACCATGCAGTTTGATGTTAGCTAAGGGCCTTGAAAAACACGTTCTGGTGGCAATTTGTCCCTCATTCTGAACGGCCGGGGTGGTTTTATGCAGCAGCATATCCAGAAGGACAGTGAGTCCTGGAACCTGGTGGTAAGATTTTGATGCATTGGGCGTGGCATCTTTGTAGGTACATCAGTCTGGGCATGACTATAAAACTGTGCGGACCGTTCTGTGTGACACACCAGAATCTGTCTAGCAATGTCTGTCTTTTTCTTGCCATCCTGAGCATTTTGAGAAAAAGTGATGGCCGTCATGTCCTTTTAGAATACTAGTATATGGGGATTTAGTAGTATCCCCAAGGCAAATGGCAGTCGCCTTGCGCCGTTCTCATAAAATCCATTAGTATATACTAATACACAACATATGTTTATCAAAGGGATGATTAAGATGTGATAAAACACTGACAAACAAAACAAATTTGATAATGTATACATATCTCCCTACTAATTGAAACCCAATGTACTAGTTAGTATTCCTACGGTTAACCACAGCCATCTTGAATTTAGTTAAAATGAACACTTGCTATCCACAGGTTAACTTCATTTCATAATGGACCCTATATGTATCTCTGTCAATAATTGAAACCCTTGTTCTAGTATGTCTCCGGAAATGGCAGCCATCGTGAATTTTTCTCAAATACCAAAGGATATACACTTATTTTCACCAGATCTGTATTATAGGGGTAATAATAATGTGACGTAGACCGAGAACCAATCTTAATTAATATAAATTTAAATTTTATTATTAACCGTTTGTTTCTCTGGAAGCAATTGAAACCTGAGAAACAGAATTCCTAGGGTGCTTTGCCGCCATATTGTGTTTTCTTAAAATGCACACTTGTGACCCACCATAAATATATGAGAGAAGTTATAAGGACGTGATAAACACTGATTAGCAAAATAGATTTAATTTTAATGTAATATAAGTATAAACTCTATCTTCTTTGTGGGTATGTGGATTATTGAAACCCGTGAAAAAGTGTTAATTTGGCAAATGACAGACATCCTGGATTGTCGTGAAATACACACTTGTTTATATATATATATATATATATATATATATATATATATATATATATATATATATATATATATATATTGAGGTTTACACCAAGACGGCGAATATCACGGTTAGATAATACCTAGATAGTCGCAGTGATGTCTCCTTTATTAGATTAAATGTCAGCCGAGAAACCTTACGCACAACATCAATAATCATTTCAATTAAATAAGTATCATTTAAACATGTTTTCATAGTATCCTCATTCGCATATGTGTTTATATCTGACTTTATTTTTATTATCATCAAACATTAGATCCCATATCTATTTTCCAGGGATAAGCGCGTCCTCATTAAATCCCTGTCAGCATGGCGGTACCTATTCCACCGATGGTCAAACCTGCATTTGTACTCTGGGGTATACAGGGGATACGTGTGAGACTGGTATGTGTAATTTAACCCCTATTCAGACGATGGCAGTAAGAGTGATTTTTCCACTTACAAGGGAAACTAATTTACTTAAAATAAAATTATTCTTAGGGGCATATCAAATTTGTAGTGATTGCCTGGCGTTTCTGAAAAGGAACCCAAGTTGAAAAGTCGTATTAACTTAAGTCCATGATCAATTCAACTTATTCCCATGATAAATTCAACTTCACGCTCATGTTTAATTTTACTGGTTTTGTTTCAGTTTATCTTGAAGAACCCAATGCATACTGTTTTTGCGCCGCTCGAGGACTTGCTCCTGTAAGCGGTCAGATTGGGTCTTTACATTATACTTGCATCACTTCAAGCTGTACTTGTAATGCAGGATATGAGGACGTGGATGGTGTGTGTACAAGTAAGTTTGGAATTGTTTTTTTTTTTTTTCGACATATAATAAATCAAAAATTGGGGATTATAGAGAGTCGGGAAAGATTTTATAGGTAGCAAAGTGGTAACGACAGATATTATTATGTAATAAGTATAGTGTATATTATTTTTAAGTATATTATTATGTAATAAGTATCTTATATCCGAGAATTTGAGGTCTGATGAAACACATCATTCAATCAACAAAAAAAAATCTGTAATTCTAACTTACAAGTGTGGCTAAGGTAGATCGGAACCTACATGTCCTTCAATTGAAAGGATGAGTGCAGTGCACCGAGTTATTACAGATGCGGCGGGGTATAATTTAGTCTATGAGAGAAAAGCAACGCAACACCACAGCTTCGTTATAAAATCTAAAACTCCGTTTATTTCTTGGCTGCTACCTGGCTTTATACCTCCGATATTGGCGTGTCAGGCCGCGTGGCCGCAAATTATCGTAACTTTAGATAAAGGGTAACAAAGTGAGATAAAATGTAAGTTGACCGGCTCCAATTAAAGTGATAAGGACAATTACATTAATAATACGAGCTGCGTGCCCATGCCTGCAACTCAATTAAAAATAATTACACGTATCAGAAATTTTCTGTGGTCTGCATACGCCTTCATTTTTTACACCCAAAAATTATGAAATACAAATTTTTAACAGTCTAATTTTGATAAAAAGATGTAACCATCGTTTATTTAAAGATGAAATAATAATAATATATTAAAACAATTCTGCTAACTACATGTTATGTCGGTCAATACAGAAATATGTACACTCTTATCTTCATAAAGTCGCGATTTTTTTTTTAATCGTTAAATTGACGCATAAAAATTTTCTGATTGCTACAACTCACTATCATAATTCCATACAGTAAAGCCATCTGGACACGTGCGTTCCAGTAACGCGGATATTGCCATGGTACCCGATGCTCTCGGGACGTGAGGAAAAACCCGTCTAAACCCTTCGTGGGGAAAGTGTCCACGCCTATTGTTGTTTGTTATCCGTTATTCATTGGAACATTTCCTAGCGTACATTTGTCATAAGAACAGTTCACGGTTTAGCGTATCGGTTTTCTATCGAACTATTCAGCGTGTCGTTTTCAGTCGAATGCGTATCGGCGTATCGGCTTTGTTTATAACTCAGACAGTCTGGCGGAGCTGATGAAATGTCCCGGTCACTGTTGTTTTGGTGGCGTAGTGAAAGAATGGTGGCGTGGAAGTCGGATGGATCACGGCGGAAAGTCGGCGAGGTAGTCGCGGCTGTCGCGGCAGTACCCTCTTTCTAGATGGCCCTCGGGGTTTATCCGAAAAATAGAAGGGTAAAAAAACGCTTCCCGGATTGGATAATTATCCCTGAAAAGAACCGACAACATGACATACAATTACAGAAAAGTTTAATACATATATCTTATATCTGCACAACATCTGGTGACGTGACCGCTAGCTAGGCTTGATTTAGGCGTCAAGTCTTTTCTCGCAGCGCGGGGAACTTCGCACTAGCATCGGGTAACCTACAGACTTGTGCTGCTTTTCATTTCAATTAAGCTTATCAACTGATGTTGATTGACTAGACTGAAGTTTGGTTGGTGTCTAAATCATTCTTTTAAGAATTTGTTTTTCATCCTATGTCTGTTACCCTGGATGGCAATTTTTAAATATTGTGTGTTGACAGTGAAAAAATGTATAATGTGTATTAAATGTAAAGCAGCGGCATGCATGCATTCTGGGCCATTTCATTTCCAGTATGGTCTGAGCAAGTTCTCTATAGCAACTGTGATGTATAGAATCCTAATTTTACTCGTCCTATTGTATGTTATTATGTGAGTCTTGATACAATATTTAATATACACAGATCGGAACTCTTAATAATATTCAGCAATTTATGAGACTGCTTTTACAGGTTAAAATATTTAACTGGATATCTGCGTCCTTTGTTTTTATGTACTTTTTGTATTATTGCAGTTTCAAGCTCCGATCCATGTCAACCTAATCCGTGTCAAAATGGGCAGTGTGTAGGTAGTTTGGGCACATTCACCTGCAGTTGTAATGAAGGCTACACTGGCACTCTCTGCGACACTGGTACGTGATTCAAACTGAAATACATACTCTAAAACATATGAATGATTATGATGAGGATAATGTTAGGCTCATGCATATGGGAAATTATTATTTAATTGTTTTCATGCACATTGTGATAATTCCATATTAAATAACTATCAAATCTATTTGTGATATGTAAATGCTTTTCTAATAGTTTTCAATCAACACATTTACATTGATGCAATTTCCATGCGTTTCCTCAAAAGGGAAAACAAATAATAGCCTCGATAACTCTTTATCAGGCATTGAATCTGCTTTAACATCAGCTTTATATCTTTAAAACTTACTTTTATAAAGAGTTTCTGTCCTGTTGATCCAAATGGTTAAGAAAGTTATGGTTTTACTATGTGACACTTTTCATTTGTTCCTATTCCTCCAAATGATTCCCATACACTCTCGTGCGCAGCGGTGTGATTAAAGTAATGTGCGAGTGTAAAGAAAATATCGGAAGCTATTGTTATGTAAAACTGTCGGCACCTGTTACACCAATCGTTCTTCCAGTTACACCTGCACTTGCCTTTTGGGGCACGTGTGAAACTAGTTAAAGTAATTTTAACTCTTTTAGATGGCAATTATAGTGATTTTCTTACACTAACAGTATAGGTTAATTTACAAATAATTGAAATTGTTGTGAGGGACATAGCAGTGATTTTCTGGCGTTTCTGACAAGGGCTTTAAATTGAACAAAATTGTATAAACAGTCATGATGAATTCAACTTCACGCTCATGTTTAATTTTACTGGTTTTGTTTCAGTTGATCCCAATGCAAACTGCCCTTGTGCCGAATACGGACTAGTTCGTTTAGACACAGGGTTTTCACATTTAACTTGCATCAGCTGTACTTGTAATGGATGGTATGTGGACGTGAATGGTGTGTGTACAAGTAAGTTTGGAATTGATTTCTTTTCGCCTTATTTTGCATGAATAAAGCTTTAATCCTATCATACATAAAGTATTATAGACTGGGCAGGTTTTATAGCAACATGTTAGCACTGATACTTGGGGACGGGCATGCACATATAGCGTGGTAGTACTGCTAACCAATTATTATTACAGGGTATATACAACGTATTTAGCTTTAAGTCTGATTTCTATCCAAATATTAAAGCTTTGATAACACTCAGGAAGTACCCTGGCATATTTTGCCCTGTTTGACCTTTTGTAATATAAATCGATAGGTATGCTCCCGTATCATATGATTTTCTCGATTCCTTAAGAAAAAAATCACTCAAATATTTGTCTGTAAAAAGCAACATACGTGAATAGGCTGCAGCATAGGTCGCCACTGTAAAACTACGATGTGAAAGGATCGTGTTCCCTTCAAGATTTGTCATCAAAAGAAAACGATGTCAGCATATTCTGTGACGGACCAAAACCTGAGTTTCCTGAGGAACCGTCAATGCTAGATATCTAAGTCGTGGCCTGGGACAATGTGTATTTCTAAGAATACTATAATCTTAACGACATGCATCCCAGGCAATTTTATTTCCAATATGGTCTGAGCAAGTTCACATAGCAACCAACTTTTGTTAAAAAGTTTAAATGCCTTTTAGCTAACTGGCTGTTTAACTACTTTTATACAACGCAGATTTAAACGTCGTTTTATTAACCAGTGTTTTAAGAATTAATGAACAGGTTAGGCTTATTAACATGTTAGTTCTAATCGCCCTTTCTAAATCTGACTCAAGTTTTAAATCATATAATGAAACAACTTAATGTCTTTCGTATTTGGTCGATAAGTGGTTTTCTTGACCTAAGCAAAAAACAATAATGTATAGAATCCTAATTTTACTCGTTCTGTTGTATTTTATTATGTGAGTTTTGATACAATATTTAATATACACAAATCAGAACTCTTAATAATGTTTAGCATTTTAAGAAACAGCTTTTACAGGTTTAATTATTTAATTGGTTACCTACGTCCTTCCTACATAAACACAATTGTCTCCGTAATTGTTTTGGTCCCATCATCCAAATTTTGTGAAAATACTCAAGTTTAAATCGGGTAGTGAAGCATTGATTAATATTCATTCGACGGTTCTTGTTTGATTACCTTTAAAGATTTAAACATAATGATTGTTTTTGTTTTTTTTTTAATAAAAAGTCATGCACAAACAAGTGTAAATTGAATATGTGTATTATTTGTTATTTCTCATAACCGCTCTTTTTTAATTGCTTTTACAGTGCAGAATGTTCGTTTAACTCATGTCAGAATGGACATTGTGTAGATGGTTTAAACACCTATACAGGCTGCATATGTGTTAACTGTGAAAATTGTATGCATTTGTTCCTTTGGCAAATGTCTCAAAACATTATTCAAGTGGGTGATGACAGATTCGTGAATATCGCATGAATGTACACATAATTTACTATTCTTTATTTTATTTTATTTTATTTTTGTTTTTTGCACATTTTGCACATTTTGATGATCTCACAATGAATGTTTGTCTTATCCGCATATACATGTTCACCTGCATGAAAAGGTGTAATACAGTGGCGAATTTAGAGGGGTGTCAGGGGGTCCTGCCCCCCTTTCCATTTTTTATTTTAAATAACGTACAAAAAAAATCGCCTAGCTGAATTGTAGTTCTAAACCGTACTGAATGACGCCATTTGCCCTCCACAACACCATTTTTTCTCGGGACCCTCTAGCATGCCCTGAACCTGACGTCAAGGGGATGAGATCTATCAATCCCTTACCCCCTACCCCCCCACCCCCATAGAAATAATGGAACTTTGGCGTCAGTTCCGCTTCAGCATCATTAAAATTTATTTCTCAAAAGAAACCATACAGAAGGAGGTAGAGCTTATGACGTATATCAAACGAACTTCTTATCGGTTGAACAATGCGTTTCCTGACTTGTGATCTTATATGTACATGTACCATATAACAATGTCATGTTTCTTAAAATTTCTTTTAGTGAATTTCATACACCATCTTGCTCACAGTTAGTTTACAGTTTTGAATTAATTAAGAATATGTTTGAAAGCATTCCTGAAAACTGTTGGTTATATGATTTATGGCTTTATTTTAAGGGCTCAATCCCAATGAAAAACTGATTTTACTTACATTGATCCGATACCCCACCTCAACCCTTTAATTCAAATATCCTGCAGATCGCTCGTAAACCCATATACTCAGTACCTGTAAATGTTAAACACAAGCTTTTTTGTATTCTACAGAACAGACGGAGAAGAACTGATTTTACTTACATCTGATTACAATCACTTGGAGTCCCCGCAGAATTGGACCAGTTTTTCAAGAATGATTATATTACATTTAATATACTACCATGTGAATTATTGGTAAATTTCCATTCAATGAAATGACTGCTCTTATAGACGTATGATGATTGTTTTTCTTTTGTAATATTCTGTCATGTAGTCACATACACGTGTTATTTGAATGAGCATATTGTTTATTTCTCACAATATTTTTAATTGCCATTACAGATATTGTTGACTGTGCGTCTAACCCATGTCAGAATGGAAATTGTGTGGACGGTGTGAACTCCTATAGCTGCAATTGTAACACAGGCTACACTGGTGTTAACTGCCAAATCAGTATGTATTGGCTATTCATAGTAAAACCAAAAACCTTATTTAAGTGGATGGTTGCACGTATAGTGTATTAATGTACATTTTTTACAATATGTGAATTATTGGTAAATGTCATTCAATGGAAATGTTTTTGATTGCTCTTAAAGACATATGATGATTATTTTTCTTTTCTAAGAATCGTCATGTCGTAAAATACGTAAGACGTATGATGATTGTTTTTCTTTTGTAATATTCTGTCATGTAGTCACATACACGTGTTATTTGAATGAGCTTTTATTTTATTTCTCACAATATTTTTAATTCCCATTACAGATATTGATGACTGTGCGTCTAACCCATGTCAGAATGGAAATTGTGTGGACGGTTTAAACTCCTATACCTGCAATTGTAATCCAGGCTACACTGGTGTTAACTGTGAAACCAGTATGTATTGGCTACTTATATTAATGCCCCAAAACATATTATTTAAGTGGAAAGTTGCACGTATGGTGGAATGATGCACGTTTATTATTATACTATTTTATATGTTGATTGCTCTGCTTTTCTTAAACAATATCTGTACAGAGGAAGGATATACGTTTACTATACTATTTATGGGAATAATTGGTTAATTTTCGATTCAATGAAAATTGATTGCTCTTAAAGACTTGGTGATTGTTTTGCTTTTCTTAAATTCTAATATCATGTAGTTACATGCATGTGTGATTTGAATGAGTGTATTATTTGTTATTTCTCATATCATATATTTAAATTGCCATTACAGATATTGATGAATGTTCATCTCACCCATGTCAGAATGGAAATTGTGTAGACGGTGTAAACTCCTATACCTGCAATTGTAATCCAGGTTACACTGGTGTTATCTGTGAAACCAGTATGTATTGGCTATTTAAAGTCATGCCAAAAAACATAACTTAAGTGGGTAGTTGCACGAAATATGGAAGGATGTATATTTAATATTCAATTAATGTGAGTAATTTTGTTATTTTCCATTCATTGGGACAAGTTTTTGATTGGCCTTAAAGACACATGACACTTGTTTTGCTTTTCTTAAATTCTATTGTCATGTAGTTAGATGCAGGTGTGATTTGAATGAGTGTATTATTTGTTATTTCTCATGTCATATATTTAAATTGCCATTACAGATATTGATGAATGTTCATCTCACCCATGTCAGAATGGAAATTGTGTAGACGGTGTAAACTCCTATACCTGCAATTGTAATCCAGGCTACACTGGTGTTAACTGTGAAACCAGTATGTATTGGCTATTTAAAGTCATGCCAAAAAACATAACTTAAGTGGGTAGTTGCACGAAATATGGAAGGATGTATATTTAATATTCAATTAATGTGAGTAATTTTGTTATTTTCCATTCATTGGGACAAGTTTTTGATTGGCCTTAAAGACACATGACACTTGTTTTGCTTTTCTTAAATTCTATTGTCATGTAGTTAGATGCAGGTGTGATTTGAATGAGTGTATTATTTGTTATTTCTCATGTCATATATTTAAATTGCCATTACAGATATTGATGAATGTTCATCTCACCCATGTCAGAATGGAAATTGTGTAGACGGTGTAAACTCCTATACCTGCAATTGTAATCCAGGCTATACTGGTGTTAACTGTGAATCCAGTAGGTATTGGCTACTTATATTAATGCCCCAAAATATTATTTAAGTGAATGGTTGCACGGATAGTGGAAGGATATACATTTACTATACTATTTATGTGAATAATTGGTTAATTTTAATTCAATGAAAATTGATTGCTCTTAAAGACATGGTGATTGTTTTGCTTTTCTAAAATTCTAATATCATGTAGTTACATGCATATGTGATTTGAATGAGTGTATTATTTGTTATTTCTCATGTCATATATTTAAATTGCCATTACAGATATTGATGAATGTTCATCTAACCCATGTCAGAATGGACATTGTGCAGACGGTGTAAACTCCTATACCTGCAATTGTAATCCAGGCTACACTGGTGTTAACTGTGAAACCAGTATGTATTGGCTATTTAAAGTTATGCCAAAAACATTACTTAAGTGGGCAGTTGCACGACATATGGAAGGATGTATATTTAATTTACAATTAATGTGAATAATTTCGTTATTTTCCACTCATTGGGACATGTTTTTGATTGGCCTTAAAGACACATGACAATTGTTTTGCTTTTCTTAAATTCTATTGTCATGTAGTTACATGCAGGTGTGATTTGAATGAGTGTATTATTTGTTATTTCTCATGTCATATATTTAAATTGCCATTACAGATATTGATGAATGTTCATCTAACCCATGTCAGAATGGACATTGTGCAGACGGTGTAAACTCCTATACCTGCAATTGTAATCCAGGCTACACTGGTGTTAACTGTGAAACCAGTATGTATTGGCTATTTAAAGTTATGCCAAAAACATTACTTAAGTGGGCAGTTGCACGACATATGGAAGGATGTATATTTAATTTACAATTAATGTGAATAATTTCGTTATTTTCCACTCATTGGGACATGTTTTTGATTGGCCTTAAAGACACATGACAATTGTTTTGCTTTTCTTAAATTCTATTGTCATGTAGTTAGATGCAGGTGTGATTTGAATGAGTGTATTATTTGTTATTTCTCATGTCATATATTAAATTGCCATTACAGATATTGATGAATGTTCATCTCACCCATGTCAGAATGGAAATTGTGTAGACGGTGTAAACTCCTATACCTGCAACTGTAATCCAGGCTACACTGGTGTTAACTGTGAATCCAGTATGTATTGGCTACTTATTAATGCCCCAAAATATTATTTAAGTAAATGGTTGCACGGATAGTGAAAGGATATACATTTACTCTACTATTTATGTGAATATTTGGTTAATTTTCATTCAGGATAAATATTTTTGATATTTATTGAAGACACACGATGATTGCTTTGTTTTTTATATAATATTAATTAATAATATATAAGTATGATTTGAACGAGTCTTTTATTTGTTATTTCTCACAATAATACTTAGTAACGTATAAGCATGATTTGAATGAGTCTTTTTTTATTCTTCATGTAATATTTTTAAATTGCCATTACAGATATTGATGAATGTTCATCTCACCCATGTCAGAATGGAAATTGTGTAGACGGTGTAAACTCCTATACCTGCAATTGTAATCCAGGCTACACTGGTGTTAACTGTGAAACCAGTATGTATTGGCTATTTAAAGTCATGCCAAAAAACATAATTTAAGTGGGTAGTTGCACGAAATATGGAAGGATGTATATTTGATATACAATTTATGTGAATAATTTCGTTATTTTCCATTCATTGGGACAAGTTTTTGATTGGCCTTAAAGACACATGACAATTGTTTTGCTTTTCTTAAATTCTATTGACATGTAGTTACATGCAGGTGTGATTTGAATGAGTGTATTATTTATTTCTCATGTCATATATTTAAATTGCCATTACAGATATTGATGAATGTTCATCTCACCCATGTCAGAATGGAAATTGTGTAGACGGTGTAAACTCCTATACCTGCAATTGTAATCCAGGCTATACTGGTGTTAACTGTGAATCCAGTAGGTATTGCCTACTTATATTAATGCCCCAAAATATAATTTAAGTGGATGGTTGCACGAATAGTGGAAGGATATACATTTACTATACTTTTATGTGAATAATTGGTTAATTTTCATTCAATGAAAATTGATTGCTCTTAAGGACTTGGTGATTGTTTTGCTTTTCTTAAATTTTAATATCATGTAGATACATGCATGTGTGATTTGAATGAGTGTATTATTTGTTATTTCTCATGTCATATATTTAAATTGCCATTACAGATATTGATGAATGTTCATCTAACCCATGTCAGAATGGAAATTGTGTAGACGGTGTAAACTCCTATACCTGCAGTTGTAATCCAGGCTACACTGGTGTTAACTGTGACTCCGGTATGTATTGGCCACTTATATTAATGCCCTAAAATATTATATAAGTGGATGGTTGCACGGATAGTGGAAGGATATACATTTACTATACTATATATGTGAATAATTGGTAATTTGAATTCAATGAAAATTGATTGCTCTTAAAGACTTTGTGATTGTTTTGCTTTTCTTAAATTCTAATATCCTGTAGTTACATGCATATGTGATTTGAATGAATGTATTATTTGTTATTTCTCATGTAATATTTTTAAATTGCCATTGCAGATATTGATGAATGTTCGTCTAGTCCATGTCAGAATGGAAATTGTGTAGACGGTGTAAACTCCTATACCTGCAATTGTAATCCAGGCTACACTGGTGTTAACTGTGAAACCGGTATGTATTGGCTATTTAAAGTTATGCCCCAAAACATTATTTAAGTGGGTGGTTGCACGAAAAGGGCAACGAGGTACATTAAATATACAATTTATGTGAATAATTTGTTATTTTCCATTCATTGGAAATGTTTTTGATTGGCCTTAAGGACACATTATGATTGTTCTGCTTTTTTTAAATTCTATTGTCATGTAGTTACATAGATGTGTGACTTGAATGAGTGTATCTTTTGTTATTTCTCATGTAATATTTTTAAATTGCCATTACAGATATTGATGAATGTTCGTCTAATCCATGTCAGAATGGAAATTGTGTGGACGGTGTAAACTCCTATAGCTGCAATTGCAATCCGGGCTACACTGGAGTTAACTGTGAAACCAGTATGTATTGGCTACTTATATTAATGACCCAAACCATTATTTAAGAGGATGGTTGCACGTATGGTGGAAGGATATCTGTTTATTATTATACTATTTTTGTGAATGATTGGTAAATTTTCATTCAGTGGAAATGTTTTTGATTTCTATTGAAGACACATACTGATTGCTTTGCTTTTATTAAATTCTTATATTACTTAGTTTGAACGATGTTTTTGCTATTTCTCACAATAATTTAAATTGCCATTACAGATATTGATGAATGTTCATCTAACCCATGTCAGAATGGAAATTGTGTAGACGGTGTAAACTCCTATAGCTGCAATTGTAATCCAGGCTACACTGGTGTTAACTGTGACTCCGGTATGTATTGGCTACTTATATTAATGCCCCAAAACATTATTTAAGTGGATGGTTGCACGTACAGAGGAAGGATATACGTTTACTATACTATTTATGGGAATAATTGGTTTATTTTCGATTCAATGAAAATTGACTGCTCTTAAAGACTTGGTGATTGTTTTGCTTTTCTTAAATTCTAATATCATGTAGTTACATGATGTGTGATTTGAATGAGTGTATTATTTGTTATTTCTCATGTAATATTTTTAAATTGCCATTGCAGATATTGATGAATGTTCGTCTAATCCATGTCAGAATGGAAATTGTGTAGACGGTGTAAACTCCTATACCTGCAATTGTAATCCAGGCTACACTGGTGTTAACTGTGAAACCGGTATGCATTGGCTATTTAAATTTATGCCCCAAAACATTATTTAAATGGGTGGTTGCACGAAAAGGGCAACAATGTACATTAAATATACAATTTATGTGAATAATTCGTTATTTTCCATTCATTGGAAAAGTTTTTGATTGGCCTTAAAGACACATGATGATTGTTCTGCTTTTCTTAACTTTTTATGTCATGTATTTACCTACCATTGCGATTTGAATGAATGTATTATTTGTTAATTCTCATGTCCTATTTTTAAATTCCCATTACAGATATTGATGACTGTGCGTCTAATCCATGTCAGAATGGAAATTGTGTGGACGGTGTAAACTCCTATAGCTGCAATTGTAATCCGGGCTACACTGGTGTTAACTGTGAAACCAGTATGTATTGGCTACTTATATTAATGACCCAAAACATTATTTAAGAGGATGGTTGCACGTGTGATGGAAGGATATGCGTTTATTATTATACTATTTTTGTGAATGATTGGTAAATTTTCATTCAGTGGAAATGTTTTTGATTTCTATTGAAGACACATACTGATTGCTTTGCTTTTATTAAATTCTTATATTACTTAGTTTGAACGATGTTTTTGCTATTTCTCACAATAACTTTAACTGCCATTACAGATATTGATGAATGTTCGTCTAATCCATGTCAGAATGGAAACTGTGTGGACGGTGTAAACTCATATACCTGCAATTGTAATACAGGCTACACTGGTGTTAATTGTGAAACTAGTAAGTATTAATTACTTTAATAAATTTCCCAAAACATTATTTTAGTGGATCATTATAGTTTCTCAAATAGTGCAAGTATAAATATTTAATGTTCTACTCTTTACACTTTTGAAATGCGTACATTGTGGTGATTTGATAAATAATATTTATCTTATCAACTTGTTCACGTGCATGAAAAAATGTACGGTTGGTTACCAATTATCTCTGAATGCACATTAATGCTGCATCATTTTGTGTTCTGTAAGGAGTACACCATCAATTGTTACCTGCTTTATAAGGCTTTGGCATCTGTTTTAGTGGATGAATTTATTTAGATACATACATTTCTTCAAAGAAAGACTATGTGTAGATAGATCTTATCACGTATTTCTCAAGAACTTCTTTCTTATAAATCAATACTGACTAAAAGAATTTTGTTTGTCCTATTAAGCGTATTATATCGACTATCGGACTCAAAAGTATAATTACGCATTGCATCACGAAGGCAATGGGCTTGTATAAGAAGTCATATATTGTAAAACTGTTTGTGGTAAGTTTTATAACGTCATTTATAAGCTTGCTTATTCCTTTTATTCAGATGTCCTATGCATACAGGTTAAAACTGGTTGGGTGTATTATTTACTATATTTAATAATTATCTCTGGTTGCTTTTATAGATATAGATGATTGTCAGTCTAATCCATGCCAAAACGGAGTTTGTGTGGACGGTGTGAATTCCTATAACTGCAGCTGCAATCCAGGATACTCTGGTACCCTCTGCGACATTGGTATGTTTTTATTGTTTACATCTACCTGTATAACTTCTCCAATTCATAAATAAGTTCGCGTATATTGCAATTATGTGCATTTACATTTAAAACGGGGATTTTGGTTTTCTGCATCTTAGTGCTGTGTATGAACTGAAGTTTAAATTTGTTATTCTGATCATTGTTTGATTGTTACTCAAAGGTTCTAGTTTTATTGCTTTCGCCCTGCTTCTTGTACATCCCAAGTTTAAAATTAGTTTTTCTTAAGGGGGAAGGGGGCGTAGTGTACCAGGTCTTTGAACGTTCAGAAAGGGGAATGTCATGTCCCTGCCTCTTCAGACTCTGGTCTAAAAAGAGCGCATATATACAGATGATATATGCTGAAGGCGCTGTTCCTCAAAACGAACTATATGTTCAACATGTACTTTTGTCATATTCCCATGCAGTTGATTTCAGATTAACCAATCCCTTCAACTAAAGCTTATGTTCTCTCTCGAGTAAAAAAATAGTGTGCAATTTGACAGTTACTATATCAATACAAGGAAGTCATTCTAGAAAACCTTCATACAAACATAGTTCGTTCTGAAAACTAATGATTTCAAGCATCTGGAGTGTCATTATGCCGTTTGTTGCTTATTTTTGGAGAAATGTTAATTATAGTTGGCGTATATTTCTCATGTTAACAATTTCTTTTGTGTGTTTTATGACTATTATAGGATGAAAATTCCAAGTAATTATAATCATTTCTGATATGAATCATCCATAAAAAATGAGTTTGAAAATACCTCTAAATAATATAATGATTTTCAACCAGTTCAAATGCTATTTAATCAGATATCAAAGAGTCCCACATAGTAACGTGAAACATTAACAATGCAAATCATATTTATCTATTTCAGCTAGTTGCGGCAGTATACTCAGTTATTCTAACGAAACTGTAGATGCCACTACCGGCGAGGCGGTGCAGGACGGCTGGATTATGTGCTACATCGACAGCGATGACACCGCCTACCTCGACACTCCCTGCGTTGATTTGCTTCAAGATGTCCCCCCCTACGACAAATTTGGGTGCTGGCATGGTTGCTCTGGATCCCAAGAAGGGCCTGCTTACGCCGATAATGAGATCATTAAGTTGGCCTGTCGTCCGAATACCAAAAATAACGAGGCGCTAAACGATGACCTTTGCAGCACTGGCGACACTACGTTTGGTGTTTGCATTAGACTCCTGTAAAGAATCAAATTGGAAGGATTATGTGCTCAAAAAGCAGAGAGAAACCCGTAAATGAAATAATTGACAAATATTGAAACTGATGGAGGTTGAATCGATTGTGGTTTTGCCTACTTGATGCACGTTTTCAATCTTCTGCCTACTATTTATTACTAATATTTTTTTTACATTCCATTTATTTCTGTGCTTGTATCTATTTTATTGACTTTTTTGTTCGTTTTAATTACATGTAAAGTTTAATTTATAATTCGAGTAAATAACCGATTTAATTGTAATCCCTGTATGTAACCAATGTGCTATTTAAGTGATTAATTTCTATTTTTTCTTTTGAAGTGTTCTTTTTTCAATTGATTTCTATTTAAATGTTTTCTTAATTGCAAATTCTTTACTGTTACTTACTGTGCACATTATTGTATCATTTGGGTGCATTAGGTTTCTTGGCTAAAATTTGACTAAAAATTAATAAACGATTTTAAGTCTTCTTTTTTCGTTTGTTAATTTGACACTTTAATGCATGGCAGTGTGTGTTTGGGCGTTCATGTGTATGATTTAGTGTTTGATTATTGTACAACCAGCGTAGGCGCTGGTGGAACACATGGTTTTAGTCCCGCCCGGTCCGTTCTACCGGCTCCACCGGCTCCGTAGCCATGTCACCGTTACCGCTTCTCCTCCTATACTACAAGGGCCTGCATACCCATCTCTTGGATTTAGGTCACGTATAATCTCAACTCGATCCACGTAAAATTTGGGCTTCGTCGTTGCTGGGGTCTAGGCTCATTGCAATGCACTGGCAAATTGGTAAAATTAAATGCTAATTATCTGCCATACCAAAGGAATCATGGGGAAAATTTCTATAGACGGCTGACCGAAAGTCATATGTGGAGATATTCAAATATGCCCTTGGATTTGACCTTTGACCTTTATTTCATAGTGAAATGGACCAAAATTTTCAAAAAAGGCGAATTTTTTACGAAAAAAATTGTTTGCACTGATATTAAGAAACTACACAGACCTAACCTATAATATTATTGGCAGGTGTTACCCTTCCGGTCATCTTTCATCTCCATGAGTTTGGGGTCAATCGGTGCATTTTCACGGGAGCAGCGGCCATTAGATGCCGAAACAGAAAACTCTCTCTCATTCAGTAACCGTTAATGCTAGAGGCCTCTTGTTTTTTGCATTTGACAGAGCATGCCACGCCCAACACTGGAAGTGGTCTCCGTTTTTTTTTTATGCTTTTATGCTTTCATGGTTTTATGCTGTATCAAAAAGTACATTGTGGTGGTGAAAGTAAAATGTGCAATACGGTAATATGCATAAAATTTTGATACTGACAATCTGTGACCTTAAAATTGGACTGCACTTTGCGAGGTTTCCTTCCCTCATATCTCCAAAACTAGCAGAGATACACCCATAGTTACTATTGAAGTTGAATAGGAAGTGATATGCTGGCAATCTAACTGTGACGTTGAAATGGACTTGTGACCTACTTTTCACCATCAGGCCTACCCAACTACCAGACTCGGCACACAAGGATCCTGAATTAACCGGTATATCGGACCACACTACCTGTTTTCAAGGTGTGTGTCAGATCGCATTTCGGAGTATCAGTCCGAACACCGACAGGATGAGCCCGCGGTCGTCCTACAAAAATTGTTCTGGGGTATGATACTCCGAAATGCGATCTGACACACACACCTTGAAAAAGGGTAGTGTGGTCCGAAAAACAGGTTAACTCAGGATCCTTATGTGCCGAGTCTGGTAGTTGGGTAGGCCTGACCATGAGTTTTATTTTGCAACTTTTTCGATGCTTATACCTTCAAAACTGGCATAGATATGGCCATATATAGTTACAATTGAATTTGAATAGGAAGTCATATACTGACAATCTGTAACTTTAAAGTTGACCTTTGACCTTCTTTTCACCATTGACTCGACTTTGCAACTTTTTGGTCCCTTATATCTCCAAAACTGGCAGAGATGCGCCCATAGTTACTATTGAAATTGAATAGTAAGTCATATACTGGTAATCTAACTGTGACCTTGATATTGACGTTTGACCTACTTTTCATCATGAACTGAGCTTTGCAAGGTTTCTGTCCCTTATATCTCCAAAACTGGCAGAGATGGGCCCATAGTCACTATTGAACTTGAAAAAGGAAGTCATATACTGCCAATCTAACTGTGACCTTCAAATTGACCTTTGACCTACTTTTGAGCTGAACTTTGCAACTTCCTATTCTTATATCTCCAAAACTGACAGAGATGTGCCCATACATGTAGCTACTATCGAACTTGAATAGGAAAATACCGGTATATATATATGGTGACCTTCTTTTCGCCATGAATCGCACTTCACAAATTTGGATTTAAACTTTTACTCTTCCCCATGAATTGTAATTTTCAATAAAAATATTTAGAATTCTAGACTGCATTTTGTAGATTTTGTCAAGCACAAAACTAGAGGTGGTGTCATTTTTTTTTTTTTTGTTTTTTTTTGTTTTTTTTTGTTTTTACATAAGAATGTGCTTAATCCAGCTGGTGGTACAATACCCGGAGGCGGTATCGCCTCTCTGATCCTCTACAGTTATTAATGATAACGGCATATTAGATTTTTTCAAACAGTGGCTTTCTTTTATTAAAATATCAGATAGGGTTAGACAAAATTCTGTAAAATTACTGCCATTACAAACATGTTTTGGATGTTAGATGAATATTTATGTCATTCAATTCATTTCCATTAACATAAATGTCATTGTGCAGTCGACGTAATAATTGTGGTTTGAGGGTAAAAATGACAAAATCGGTTTCCCAAATATCTCTTTTACATGAGCACCTAAATATAGCAAGTAAAAGGATTAATTTTCTACAGCACCTGAAACGTGCAGGCCTTCCAACTGATGACCTTGTAACTTAATACCAGACGGTCATAATGCCAGTTTTAGAATATGCTGCCCCTGTCTGGCACTTTGGGTTAACGAATGAATTGTCTGCCCCAGAAGAAAAGTATCAAGAAAGAGCTCTTAAGATCATAATTTATCCTGATCTTGAATATGACGCTGCTTGTGAACATACATGTATAGTAAACTTGAACTACTGAGTGAAAGACGGCCCAATTAATGCATGCAAAATATTGTTTATTAGGATATCAAATGAACCAGATCATAGATTGCATTATCTTTAACAACCAAAACAAAGTGTCAATTATTCATTAAGTGAACAGGAAAAAATTTAAAGACCTAAAATTAAAACCAAACGATCAATTTAACAAGTGCGATATACAAGTTACAAAATTAACTGATAAACTTATATTCCAAATTTTAACCTTGCATTTTAGTTATTTTGTTTTACATTTGTTTGCGTATGTCTTTTAATATTCCGTTATTCTTATTTACTAGTGGTTTTATTCAACTATGATGCAATGATTGTAATAAATATAGAAACACTGTTTCAATGTTAATTCAACGGTATCATGCAATGCATACTTCAAACCATGCCAGCGGTTATTTCTAAGATTTTATCGTTAATAATTAAGACAAAGCATTTTTACAATCAAGTATTCTAATTAGGGGTTCATTACCCGATAATAAAAAAAAAAAGAAAAACACAATGACGGCAAGAATATACACACTGTTGCTCCACGGCAAGTTATAACCACTTACAGACTTCCTCTCACCTTTTTTTTTTATTATTAAAGGTAGACTCCGTGGGTGTGAAAATCCCCAAAATGCCTGTTTTTGCCATCCACAGTTTCTTATAAAACCTTACATACACTTTAAAAATTATTTAATTAACCCCTTAAATATTTTTCTGGTGTTGATATTTCCATTGGAACTTATAGGCAATGATCGCTGTTATAATGACTGGCCAGTCATTTAAATAACCTTTATAAATTTTATCAAAGGAACTGGACACTATAGGCACTATAATATCAGCATGGGCGTTTTGCCCAAAGTGAGATTTTGTATATTTTTTCAAAATTTGGCGGGAAAGGTGTTATACAATCTGACTTCATCGAGACTTGCATGGAGGTCTGATATCATCCTATCTGTCACCAACAAAGTTTTTTTTAAATTCGTGCTTTTGGTAGGTGGTGTCGCTGATGTTAAGGAAAAGGCTAGATAACTGCAAAAATGAAAAAATTATCATAAAATGCTTACTTTTTAGTTTGTGGTCATCTCCATCATGGAGGATTAGTCTGCTGGAAATCGGAAGTGGACAAAACATCACGAGACGCGTATTTATCCGTAATACCTGAAAAAAGCGGGTGGGCGTTTGACCCCGACTGGGCGTTTAGCCCCGGTCTACCTACACGTGGTCCGATGGCAAGCACCTGCAGATCTCAGAATAATTGCAATAACCAATGTTTCGTTGGTAAAATGGAATTTACATGTTTTATATGTTCACGCTGAAATTAGTTAGGCGGCTAAGCCAAAAATTTGTGCAAAAGTTGATAAAAGCATGAAACTTTCCACGATGATTGACCATTGGGTGTATGTCAATTTTGGATAGGGGGGCAATTCCAAAATTCACAAGTACCCGGATGAGTGGCTTTCTTAAAATATGCTGATTCAGCATTTTTACGTACATCCAAAATTCCCTTAAACGAGCACTACCGGCGTTAATTATGATAATATGAATCAATTTGAGAAGCAAACACTTACTGTGCACATCTATAACAGTTATAATGACGTCATGATGATGTCACTGAGTGATATTGCACAATACATGCGAATATCTACTGACTCCCATATACTAAATAGTCGAACCCTGCAATGATCTTTCCTGTAAACATCCATTACAGAAATCCATCCTTTAGGGCTAGAAAGGTTAAGTTAGATTGGTGTCTACTTCCAAGACTTTGCGCATTTTCAATATGGCCGTCAATTTTTGAGGGAAAATAGAAAAACAACCAAAAGTCGACAGATATACTTTATTTGTGGCTCTTGTGAACCTATTTCATGTCAGAAAAACACAGTAGGATAATTGACCGCGTACTAACA